TTGTGTCCAGGAGAAGAAAGAAATTCATACAGGTTTGGCACAACTTGATGGTGAGTAGTTAAATGATGACAGAATTTTCATTTGTGGGTGAACTGTCCCTTTAAGAAACAAGCACCAACTCCAAAGCTTTGGGAATAAGAACACGATTTTGATGGAAAAACTGTAAGTTTTGCATCAAGCTGATGCTAATCAATGATAATCCAGTTAGAACTGTACACCGTTTTGATCCAGTTTCAGATTTTCTCCTCATATCTGGCTGTCTCAGTACAGAAATGGATCACCAAGCAATTACCGCTTCCTCTTTCTGCCGCTAATTCATGACAGATTATTTAGCCAAATCAGCAATGTCTTACTAGATGGTTGCCTTTGAAAATCTAGGCCATTTTTCAGCGAGAGCCCATGCAATTCCTGAGAGAAGAAATCATGCTTATTATTGTTTCTTTCCAGATCCTGTCAGCTCAAGATTATTGAGCAAAAAGATCTACTGGCATGGTAGACTAATGGGGATTTGTTGGTGGGTTGAAATTGGCATGGGAAAGTGATATGACACAGCATCCAGAGAGAGGAGCTGGAGGAGGAACAAAAGTGTCAAATTAATTTCAGGCAGGTTTATAGATTCACATTTATTTTATAAACTGAAACACATTCTCTTCTTGCATGAGAACAGATCAATGTGTTGGACATAATGCTTCTTGAGGATGAGAATGAAACTTTAAAATGCAGTTCATCTCCACTTTGACGCTTTAAAAAGTTCATAAAGAGATCGTAAAACTAATCCATATGAATTAAGGGGTTTTCCAAATTTTCTGAAGAGATTCAATCACTTAAATGATGAACAGATTGAATTTAGGCTTTTATTCACATATTGTCGGGCTGCCCCCGACTTTAGTCAACTAGTAGCCTAGACGTTAATTTAAGCCATTAATTGACTAATCGCAAGTTTATTTTAATTTAATTACTGGGAGCACTACTCAAGAGCACACATAGCTTGCCGCAAAGCACTGGGCAAGCGCGTCTATAGAGAGAAATAGACCTTTCATACATATTACAGTTTGAATTGGTTTGTTTAAAAGTAGACATTTTTCAAGCGTTCTATATATTTCTCATGTCTGCGAAGCAAGTATAGCCTATGCTGAGTTTCACTTGTTCACTTGTTATTGCAGTCCAATGTGGGTTTGAATAATACACTCAATAACATCCACTATGGTTTCGGACACCACTACAAATGGTTGTCCCAAAATAACACCCCATTTGAGGGTAGGGGACGATTTTTGATTCAGCCATTGTTAAGCGAACAAACAGAAGCTCAATAAACCTGCTTGGTGTGCTAGAACAAACCTTTTACTACAACTGATGTGAGTTGATGAAATATTTAAATGTGAATAAAAGCCTAAAGGTCCATGCAAAACTAGCATTTAGACACCCTTAACCAGGCTCATGTTCTGTTTAGCGATATTTATGTCGCAATGACCTACTTGAATAAAACTTTTTAAGATGAGAAACTCACTGACTCTCATTAAAGGAGATTTTCCCCACACTCAGCAACAGGCAGGGCTGCTCAATTGCTCTATTCAAACCGGGCCAATACACAAAAGAGCAGGCACACATAACAGCGTGAATAACATGATAGGGAGCTTCACTAATGAAGTGAATCATTCAATTCGTCTTTCAATTAAAAACAGCTTCGTTTTACTTCACGAGACATGTTGTTTCTATGGGAACGGAACCCCTCGCCTGCGGCCTGAGACAAAACACGCGACGCGTAGGCTACCTGTGCGTATACCTGAAGAAATATGCGCGGTTAATTGTTACAATAAATTTACGAAATACTACATTACTTATCAAAAACAACAACAAAAAATCCCTCTGCATTCAAACTAACACTTTAAACTGTTACTACAGCGTTAACATTAATGAATAACAGTACCATAAACCATAATAACTGAACTGTCACCACGCATCACACCTTTGCTTCATTCGCGCTCAATGCTGCCAAGATACAACTGTGTTTTCTGCCCGATAAAACTCAAAACGGCTTTTAAACGTGTTGCTTATTCACTTGTAAAACATCAATGACAGCCACACTAGCATATTTAAAAAATCAATGTTGAACAGCTCCACACCAGCTCACATAGAGAGTCGCAGGGCAAAAGAAAACGCCCTGCCTTGTCATATAGGCTACGTACAACCTACACAAGCTGACTGAGGAAAACAATACAGAACAGCACAAACGCCAAAAAAAATAAATAACATAACATCCCTTTGAATAGTAAAAACCCTGTTAAAAAGGTTAGAGTTATCTTATAGACAATTTTCTCTTCGCACGCAGTGAACGACTGACAGACTCGCACATCTATCATTCCGTTTGGACACATTGACACATGTGGAGAAAAGCTAGCATTGTTTCTCACAGTCAAACAAAAAGCATTTTTATGCGGTAATACGACTGCGTATTGTTCCCATTCACGACAATTGTGATCATACAATGTAACAAACAGCATTCGAAGCACAATGGTAACGCAGCTTTGTAAGCCTGAACATTTTTCTGAGACATTCACTTACCTTTAACTTGCGTTTCATATTCGGCTATAATTTCCTTGTCCTTTCGGAATTTAGCCGGAGACGTCATATTGAGATAAAATGAATAAGTCCTGTCACAAAAGCGAGCAACACCGCAGAACAAAAGCCTCGTCTCCCGTACTTCGTCTACAGATATCCAGGGAGTATGTAGGAATGGAAAGCAGTGGATGGGTATTGTCTCCTGTCGATGATCAATCACGCCGCATTATTAGTTGAAGCTGCCGTTGGTTTCCAAGGTGGAATGTGTCCGTGAATGTGCACGCGAGGAATGAAGAAGAAAAAAAACAGAAGAATTTCATCCCACTGGATCCGCGCGACTTGACGCAGAGCCTTCAAAAGTTTCAGCCTTCTTCCTCCAGCGGTCAGACGTGTGAGTGAGTCTTCTCAGAGCAGGATGAAGGCATGGATTAGATTTCCCAGCATCACACTGTACACACAGGGCAGAGAAAAGTTCACTGGATCAGATTTCTAAAACTAGTTCCTTCCAGTAAACTTCCTCAAAATAATTTCGCTTTGTTTCATTTTGTTTAAAAACAGACGCCCTCATCAAAGCTCCTCATTTTACAAACAAGCTATTATGAAAAATGTAAACTGACGCATTAAATAAATAGCTAAATGCGAACTTGAAATTAAATATTATTCTGATATGACTGTTTATTTTCCTGCATGATAAAAAATAATAATAATAAAAAATAAATAAAAAATAGCCCAGTCTTTTGTAATAATTATTTGTAATTTGCTTGAGTAAGAAGTAAATAACTCTGAGCAAATTCTTTTTCTTTTTTTTCTTTTTTTGTTCACAATTCATTAGTAACATTCTCCAAAGGTAAATGTGCAAAAAATATTTGACATAACATCATTTTCACCCACGTGTCATAGGTGTGGGGAATCATTCTAACATGCATCTGCCATTCAGGAATTTAAATCCAACATGATCAAATACAATGCAAATGACCAATCCTGACAACATCATACTGATGTCATAGGAAACCCTAAAACCAATCTGTCCAGTATACTGCACGTTTTGAAAGTTTAACATGCTCGGGTCATTCGATACTTAATAGAGGCTGACAATCGTGAAGACTCCATGAGTGTAAATGACTTTAAATGATTTAGTCCTTAAAAATGAAAGAGGCCATGTGCAACAAGAGGGAGTAACGTGATGTGAAAAGCAGAGAGGCCCCTGGTGACTCTGAATAGTTCTGGGCTTTCCTTAAGGAGATCCCTGCATTTCATCCGGAGAATTGCGGAGTTTTCTCGCGCCTGAAGCGCTCGCATCATATACTGCTGAATTGATTAGTTAAACCACTTACCTTAAACGGCGATTTCCATGTCTAAATTCGAGTTTCATTCACCAGATTTCTCCCTTAAGACTAACTGTTACGCTGTTCTCTGAATTTTCCCAAACTCAAACCCCGCCTCTTTTCATGGAAGCGAAAGAACAACCCCCCTCTATTGTCATTGGTTACAACAAAAGAACACCACATAACCTATCCGATTGCCAAAATACACATTTCTGCGGCGTTAATATTGTTTTATCTCTTTCATCCATCACATGCCACATATTAAAAAGGTTTGAGTGAATGATATAATTAAAAAAAAGTTTACTTAAGTCCTTCTTATTTTTTTCTTATTTTTTTACTATTGGTTTATTTTATTTTCGTTAATTTAGCCTATGTCGTCCTTGAGTTCATAGTAAAAAAAATATATATATATCAGAATTTATTTTGGTCGATGCCTCACACTCACATTTGTTTTTTGTTTTTTGTTTTTTTACATTTATCTATTTGTAGCGATGTCTGATTCGTGAACAAATCCTTCTTCTGAGTCGGATCTTTTCAATGAATCTTCGATTCACAAAACCAGTCTGAACAACACTGGAAACTAGAACAATAAACATCCTTAATAAGACTGAATCGAAATAAATGTAATAAACAGCAATATATGTGCCCACATATGCCTTTAATGGAGCCACGTGATGATAAAAGATTCACCGACTCGTTTTTGAACCAATTCTTTACCAACTGGCTCAAAAGAACTTATTTGCGGAAATGTGTCGGACTTCCCCTCACAAGCGGATTTGTGGTTTGCGGAAAGGCACTGCAACCAATAACCTAAGGAATTTGAGCCCACCAATCATCTGTTAGATATGGTAATTTAGAACCAATCAGCGTTAGAAATCAGGCTGTTTGAAAATGGTTCAGGAAGTGAATATCCGCTTTGACGCGGACGTAAACAAACGTAGCTTGACAATCTATTCACTGTTGTAACGACGGAGAGATTGTACAGTAGTACAATGTATTTCTCTGCCGCCTAGATCTAGAACGATCTGATATCCGATAACAGGTAAGACTGGTTTTATGGCATGCTTCTTAAAAACAAGTTCATATTTTAGTTAGCAAGCTAAGTTAGCTCTTTAATAACAAGAAAGGTTGGTACAGCTTCTCTGTATTCTAACAGAAGCGATAAATGACCAATGTGATTTTCACCCGTAACGTTAATTTGAAGGGCTTCGTTTTTGTGATCAAAAGACTGACTTGGAGACATGGTAACGTGATACAAGGAAAACGGGCTAGCTAGCTGGCTAAACAGGTGCAGGTTGTCTCAGTCAGACTGTTAAAACATCTACTGTAGACTTCAGTTTAGGTGCTCACTCCCTGTTATCATTAAATCAACAGGACCCTCGTTTGGTTTGGAGCATTTCTTGAGAATATCTCAACTCAACGATGTCTACTTCAAATTTCAAGAATAAGTGTGTTACGCAAGTCAACTGTGTATACTGTGACAGTCTGCTGTGTATGAGGGGCATGAAAGCAGTACTTTTGGCTGATACGGAAATAGAGTTATTCTCAACCGACATACCCCCAAATAGGTAAGGCTTCCCATCACATAAACCTGTCAGAACATATATAAACATGATAATCATATTCTGTTTGTTTAATGCTTATTATAAACAAGTCTGTGTTGTTTTCCTCATTTAGGACTGTTGATTTTGTGGCAAGCTGCTATTCCACTGAAAGCTGCAAATGCAAGTTAAGAGACATTGCTTGCTTGAAATGGTAAAGAGGTCTTTATAACTATCACTTTGTTTTTATTTATAAAGTGTCTAATAGTGTTTAGCATAACTAGTGTTTGAAATCATGATGTTTATTAATAACAAATTTGGTTCTATATCAGTGAAACGTTTGAGGTCAGTAAGATTTTTCTTTTTTCTGTTATTAAGGATGTATTAAATTGACGAAGTTACAGCAAATGCGTGTTTACTTTTATTAAAGATTTATATTCAAATAAATGCGTTTGAACTTTTTCTATACTCATAGATTTCTGAAAAATGTTTCAGAATTTCCACAAAAATATTAGCCCAAGTTGTTTCGTCAACATTGGTGATAATAATTATAAATGTTTCTTGAGAACCAAATCAATATTAGAATGAATTCTGAAGCACCATGTGACACTGAAGACTGAAATAATGGCTGCTGAAAATTAAGCATTTAAAAACATTAAAATAGAAAATTATTATTTTCACAATATTACTGTTTTTTTTTTCTTTCTTTCTGTATTGTCTGATTAAATAAATGCAGCCTTGGTGAGACTTCTTTCAAGCGTTATAAAAATATTACCAAGCCTAAACCTTTGAACAGAAGTATATTTGCCTAATATTTACACTGTTCGTAATATTACAAGCCTAATATTTACTGATTCGCCATTTGGCTTCAAACATGTTGTTTTGCTCTTTTAGTTTTAACATTTAGGCTAGTCCTTTGTTTACACTGAGCCATTTGCTGTTCTGTTTCATTGTGTCTCACAAAGCATTTGAATCTGGTGTTTTTGTCTGTCTCTCTGGCTCTTTCTGCACATTCAGTGGGAATGTTGTGGGATATCATGTGGTGGCCCCATGCAAGCCCTGTTTGCTCTCCTGCAACAATGGTCACTTCTGGATGTTCAACAGTGAAGCTGTGTCCACCATCAATAGACTGGATGCAACAGGTTTGAGACATCTGGTGCAAAAACACTGTATTTGCTCTCTGCTTATGGTCAGACAGATTTTGCCTACCATTGATTATCTACTCATATCCATCAAAGATCCTATGTAAATGCAAAAAAAGGTTTGTAACAGACTTTGACAAACTTCAAACATTAAAGTTTTTTTCAATGTGCGGCTACTCTCAAAGGGAGACATTTTAATTTGATCATGGATGATAGTGTTTTATCTTCTTGTGCTCGTAACCTTGGTGTGATTTGACACCCACCTAAAACTAGACTCTCACATAAAGAGTATTATGAAATCTGCATTCCATCATTTACGAAACATTGCAAGAATTAGGCCCTATCTTACTCTAACTGACGCTGAAAGGATTATTCATGCATTTGTTACTTTTAGGATTGATTAGTGTATAATGCATGTTTTGTTGGTTTACCTGATAAATCTATAAAACCCCTGCAGTACATCCAGAATTCAGCAGCACGCGTGCTGACATGCACTTTACCACATCAGCAGGTGTGCTTTATAGTTTGCATTGGCTACCTGTCCAGTCACGTATTGCTTTTAAAACTCACACTAACATGTAAAGCTGTGCACAAAGTTGCTCCTTCTTATATCTGTTAGTTAGTCAGTCTTTCCTTTCGGTCTACGGATTCTCTTACTCTTCAGCAACCTCCCTGTAGATTAAAATGGATGGGGGAGAGAGCTTTCTCTGTCGCGGCACTCAGGTTATGGAATGCACTTCTTCTTACTGTTAGAGATATTTTCAAGAAGTTGTTAAAACACATCTTTTTAAAATTGCTTACACAATTGACTGTTATGGTTAGTATTCTACTGTGTTGTACTGTAGTGATTATTTTGTATTACTCCTGTACTTCTGTATATTTGCTTGTTTTATTTTTTATAGAGCTTTAAGTTTTAGAAAAGCACATTATAAATAAAATTATTATTATTATTATTATTGAAAAGTACACTTGAAGAATATTCAACTATGAAAGAACTATGTTCTTGCTTCTCACTTGCCTGGTTGCTTGTGATTCGGCTGTTTAACACTCAATAATAGACAGTGATGATTATACATGGATTGACTCACACTGGCTAAGATTTTTATATGCAGGTGAAGCATGTGTAACAGGATGTGGGTTGAAATATTACCCAATGAAAAAATTGTATAAATGGTTGTCAAATAAATCCTAAAAATTTGTTCAAGCCAAATCTTCTGATACAAAATGTTCAAAGGTTTTTTTTTGGTCTGCAACAAAAGGTAATTTTAAAAGTTATAAATCTAGCATGGCACAATAATGAATTTTATTTATTGATGCTGAGCCTTTCCCCTTCATTGCACCCTTTGAGGAAGTCTTAAATAGTGTGCCAGGCTAGTCTTTTGACTTTGTTTCAGAAGATGTGCCTTGTACTATAATGTTATCATAACTGATTGAAGCACCTTCTGTTTTTTGTTTTTTTACAAAAAAAAAAAAAATGCTGCCAACCGATATTTCAAATGAACTTTCAATTATCCTGTGGTTTAAGTTAGGCAGCGAGTGTGAGCTGACCTGTGCATCACTATTAGGCAAGATAAAAAGTTGCTATGGTTCATTTCATGAGCACTTAAGATGAAATTAAGCTTAACTGCACGTACACACCAACGTGTTTTTTTTAAATGAAGTAATTAATACTTTTATTCAGCAAGGATGCATTAAATTGATCAAAAGTGACAGTAAATACATTTATAATGTCACATTTATAGTGTTAATTGCGATTCTTTTAAACTTTTCCACAAACATATTTAACTGTTTTCAAAATTGATAATAAGAAATCATTGTATTAAAATACTTTCTGAATGATCATGTGACACTGACAACGGTGAATATTCAGAATTTCATCACAAGAATGAATTGCATATTTAAAATATATCAACCGTTATTTTAAATAGTTATAATATTTCACAATTTTATTATTTAGTTTTGATCAAATAAATGTATGTTTTTAAAAGTCGCTTATGCTTACCAGATTGACTTAACGGGGCAAATTAGCATGAGAGTCCAATTCCAAAAAAAGTGCTGATGGGAGTGAAAAGTTCTGCGCGTGATCTACTGACGACGCACAAATTAAAAAACACAGACGCAGCCGGATCAATTCCATAATGACCAACGCAATCTACCAAGGGCAGCGCAGATTTGTATCATGTTTTTTTGGGGCAGTAAATAATGGTGCAAATAGCTGTAAATTGACTACGCAAACCTTATTGAATCACCTTGCATGATTCATTGAAATATCCTCCCATAAATTTTGCATGTGAAAGGGAAATTCCTACAAATGCATAATAATAAGGTCAGCCGCAAACCTTATCCAAGCCTTTCCAGAGCAAAATTTTCATGTAACGTTAAAAGAGGGTTTGCGCTGGTGTAAACTGTTATTAAATCTGGCTCAAAGGCTTACAGACCCCAGGCATATGAATGATAGTGTAAAGAACATATTTTAGACATAATGTTAATAAATGCGTCTGTTTCTTTCACAGGGCAGAACCTTCTGCTGTGGGGTGATCTACCAGAACTGGAGGACAGCGACGATGAGAGCCTGGAGAGTTTCTCAGAAGAAGAGTACCTCAGATAGAAACGCACATGGCCAAAGGAAGTAGACTCTGACGGTAGCGAACTACTTTGCTTTCACTCGCACAGATCTCCGTTTAAAGCACATTGTCTTGTCTTTAGCTGACTGGGAAAAGGCAAAAGTTCAAAAAGCTCTTTATCATAGCTTGATTCATATGCATTCTTTTGCTATTTTCTTTTAGCATCTTCTAAGATTAGTTTGAGTATTTCAAAGTGCCACTACCAAAGAAACATGTTTCTGTTTTCTTTGCTTTATGGTCACAGTAGCACAGTACGTGATGACTGGACTTTAAGATTTATGATGTTAGCCTTGTGTCTTTATAGAGCATTCACATATTTTTCAGACGGTTTAAAAAGATTTGCAGCAGTATTACTTGAGGTGTTAATACTGGTGTTGCTATTGCAGATTGTTGGGTGGCAACTAAAACTACCCAGATAGATATAGATATAGATTAGATAGATAGATAGATAGATAGATAGATAGATAGATAGATAGATAGATAGATAGATAGATAGATAGATAGATAGATAGATAGATAGATAGATAGATAGATAGATAGATAGATAGATAGATAGATAGATAGATAGATAGATAGATAGATAGATAGATAGATAGATAGATAGATAGATAGATAGATAGGAAGAAAATGACTGACATTTACCATGTTTTAATGGTTTAACATTTGAGTTGAATTTCACATATAGTCACCTCAAGATGGATATCAGTTGGCGTAATTGGTATATTTATTCTAAACAAGGGTCATCCCTGCATAGTACTGTCTTTCATGTAATTATTTTATTGAAGATTTTTTTTTTTTTTTTTTTATTTACACAGCTTTGACATTTAAATTGAAGTGGCACAAAATGACTTGGCAGCTTTAAGTAGTTGATAGTTTTCAGCTCAGTGACATTTGGCATTTTAGCAAATGTCATTTTTATGGCATACTATGGTACTTTGCTTGGCACACTGGTTTCAATTTATGCGGTTTCATTTTCAATTTCATGATTATTATTTTTTTTATTAGTTCAAAATCTGTACTTTCTGTACTTATGTTTCATTGTTTATCACTAGGGAAATCATGAGAAGTGACAGAAAAAAAAAATCTTTGCTTAATAATTGTTGACAAAAGTCTGTATGACACTGTGTGACATACTAGACAAATTATTTTAAGCTTCCTGATTTGTTCCCCCATGGAGATAACAACAATTTAGCATCCTCTTCCATTTGTTTTGGCATGTTGTCATTTAGTTGCAGTTATTTCACAATCCTTTTTTACCATTTCACTGTGTAATAATACAGATTTTCCAGTCCAATATGAAGGCTAATATGCCCACTGTAAACGTCTTAGTGCAACATTTTATGTCATGTTGTATTGAAGGTTGCATTTCAGCTAAATGAATAAACAACCACTATTGTGATAGCTTTCAGGTGTAGCATTTTTAGGGGTTGGCTCTTTTATGCCTTGAAGCGATCTTTAGTATGCATTTATGACCAAAATGAAATGATGAAAAAATATGTTTTGTTTTTTTTAACTTATTATTAACAGAGGATTTATTTGATTTTAAGTTATCGATGTTTTGAATGTATTTATTAACAGACTATACCGATATACTGTATTTATACTGACATGATTTAATTTGTGCCGTTTGAGGATGAGAAAAGAAAAAAAATGTTTGTATACTTTTGATCTGCATTGACAATATGTTGTTGGGTTAAACTTTGGGCTGTTTTGTATGCTGAATGTCTTGATATTAAACTTTTTAATGTGGATACCTGTGTATTTCCTTGATTCACCAAAGTTCAAAACTGTCATGAGTATTTGTCCATTGCACGTCAGATCAAAACACAGATTTAAAAACTAAAGTTTGGGGGTTAAAGTCTCTTATGCTCACTAGGCAGTTTATTTGAGGATGAATATTGTAATATTGTGAAATATGATTACAATTTAAATCTGTTTCTTATATTAAATGTGAAAGATATTTGAAAATTTAAAAAAATGAATATGAATATATATATATATATATATATATATATATATATATATATATATATATATATATATATATATATATATACACAGCATCATTACTCCAGTCTTCAGTGTCACATGATCCTTTAAAAAGCAAAATGTTCCTTTGGTGCTCAAGGAACACCCTGTCCCAACCAACTGGGCAACCAGACAAGAAAAGCAATTGTCAGAGAAGTGCAAAAACACTACAGTGCTGACACACATGCAGAACTATTTTATTGAAATAGCATAAACTTTGAAGCAATCTCTTCAATATTTTTCAGATTCAACTGAAATTTACTAATCCAGAAAAGGCAACAAAATACATCTGAGCATTCAGAGAACACCTTTATCATGGTCTTGGTTTTGCAGCTGAAAGAACTGGGACATTTTTTTGCCATGAAGGATACAGATGGTAGCAAAACAGTCAAATCATGGAGGAGAACATTAACATTAAACCACAGATGTGCATGCAGGACAATGATTAAATTCCCAGCAGAACTATGACACAAAGCATCAACTATGAAAAAAAAATCATTTGAATAAACAAGGCTGGAATGACCCAGATTTTAATCCAAATAAAAACCTGTATGAGATGAAGTTCACAGCATGAGATAAAGTTCACATTGCAGTTCACAGACATTCTCCATCAAATCTAAAGGTTTAAAAACAAATAAATGCAACAAAAATAAAAGGTGGCATTAGTTTTCGTAAAGAGTGTAAACATCATATTGGTTTTATGTGTTTGAAACATTGACATATTTGATTTGTATCCCAGCATACCAGGCTAAAATCCATGCTCTTAAATGAGCAAATATGATTGCCCATAAAAGGAAGTGTGGGACTGTCTTTTAATGATTCTTAGAATCAAACGCAAACTATTTCAGTGACCCACAACCACGGCCCTCATTTAAGTCATTTTCCACTTGCGAATAAACTCATTTTTCTCTGGAAAAATGCTGACTTAATGGCTGTGATAGATAATAACTGTTTGGATATATATCTGCGCCTGAACAACACTTTTCAGTATTTGAGGCCCATCTAACAAATCAGCCTTTGTCTTTATAATCACACCTCCACACCTCAGTAATTCAACTGCAAAATGCTAATTCATCTGTCAAAAATCCCTAATCCAACTGCTCTTTCTAGAGCAACAAACCCATCTCCTGACAAACCCAATTGAGAGCATTGATGTTAATATTTTGAAATAATATATTGAGCGACATTATGCCACACAAAATGTTTTGTCCTGTCGCATTTACCTCTTAATGGTTAAAATCACATGCTGTCAAACACAATACTGGCTTGTGTGCTGAATTTACTGTGAATTAAACATTTCAGTGGAGGCAACACACTACAAAAATGAAACATTGCTGTATAGTTTCCAACACAATGGCTCTCTGAAATCACCCCTTATACACTTAAAGGGATACTCCACTTTTTTTTTTTTTTTTGGAAAACTCAACCAAGAGTTGAGTTTTACCGTTTTCGAATCCATTCAGCCGATTTTCTGATATAGAAGAAGAATATCAGTAACCAGACAGTTTCTGGTCTCACTGACTTCCATAGTAGGAAAAAAATATATACTATGGAAGTCAATGAGATCAGAAACTGTCTGTTTAGAGTGTTGGGACAGGCTTGATGACATCATGCCACCAAAAGTCCAACAGCCATAAAACTCCTCCTCTTATTTATTTGATTGGGTTTGCATTGATTCTTGGGTAGGTTACTTGTGTGGAGGGTGCGAAAGTGTGGGCTTCAGCCATTGCGGTATACATTGCACCGCAATAACAAGATGGGCAAATTCCAGTTGTAAGTGAGCATCTCCATGCCAGAACATGACCATAAATTATTAAATTACTTCCTTGAAGTGACGTTCCCTTCACTAACAGACTTGTTGGAAGGGCCGATATGCCTATCTATGCCGATATGTGCTCAACAGCTAGAGAATACCCATAATGCACCGTGACAGTCACGCCAAATGAATTCCCGTGTCAGCGGTGAGCAGTGTTTGGGCTATCTTTTAATGCTTTTTTTCAAGTAACTAGTAAAGTAAAGCATTACTTTTAAAATTACATCAAAATACCTTTTGAATAAGTTACTTTTTCAAAAAAAGTTTTCCAAGCTTTATTTTTAACTTTTTTCAAATGAGTTATATGAGAGCCAAAAGATAATGTATCATCAATAATGATGCCAAGATATTTATACACTAACTCAATCACATTACCTCATAAAGTCTGGAGAGGAATAAGATTGTCTTCTACCTTTTTCGAGCCTGAAAATAACATAATTTTTGTTTTATCAACATTCAGAATGAGTTTTAGTGTATGAAGCCACTTGAAGCTTAAGCTTAGGCTTGCTGTTTAGAGGGAGCACCACAAAACATTTGGATATAAGTGAAAATTAACATCTTGAATATCATAATCAAGACTATTTCTGTAAATAAATAAAAGAGGCCACAACACAGATCCTTGAGGAACACCTTTAACAATCTCCAATGGTCCTAAATGTTTGCCTTCAGCCTGAACACATTGAACACGTTACACGTTACTTTTTCACATTTGTTGATTGACACCTCTCCTGTGCCCATGTTGAGAGAAGGTGGCGAGGCATCGTGTGCTTTGTATTGTAGTTCTGTCTAGACTAACTGTGAGCATGCATTTACTCATCTCGCTTGCAAGAAAACATTCAGTATTCCTCAAAATAAATAAATACATCTAAATGCCAACTTACCTTAAAATAATGTTTTCAAAATCGCTTCAGTGGTTCATTAATTCGTAACAGATTGAAAGGGACTTCTGGATTCGCTTTACGTCCAATATCTCCTAACCATGCTATTTAAGATTGCCGATCGGGTCGCGTTTCTGTAGTTCTAATGAGACATAAGAAAACTACAAATTTGACGTGCTTTACGTCAAGCGTTACAATTGTCATTATTTAGTTTGTCTTTGTTTCTGATGTAGGAATACATCATAATTTCATGAAATCATGTAACATACTCTACCTTGTCTGTGGACGTCGTTCATTCCAAAGCCGGTGCTGGATAAACAGCGAGTGTGTGTAACAGTAGGCTGTGGTTGGCTAAAAGTATTTACCAAAAGTATTTTCACATTTCGCAAAATGATTAATCCCCATTAAAGATGAGATCTACAATTGCGCAACAACGATGAGGCCTGCCAAAGACAGCTCAAGGTATTCCTGATCAAACTTACAAAAACAAAAAAACATTGGCCTATATCCAATATATATTTGTTCAAACATGCAAGTAGAGATTCAGCAATCATAGATAATATCATTCAGGCATAGACCCGTCATCTGAATATGTTGGCTATTCCATCAGAATACCTGCTAAATAATTTCATAGTATGTGAAAGTGGGGGTTGGTTTGCAGTCACTGACAGGGGCTGTCAATCTTTAAGAATGTCTCAGAGTGAAGAGTCATCATAAGAATAGGGGACCCGAAAAGGTCTGTCAGTATTTGTGAGAAAGGACTGATTTTGAATGAGTGTTGTCCAAAGGGAGATCAAGAATGTCAATAAAAGGTCAAAATATGTCTTGTATAGTGCAGTATTTAGAGCTCACTTGACTATAGGTGTGACTCAAGTGTTAACTCAAAAGGCATTGAAATACCTTATGAATATCTGAGAAAAAGCAGGATTTTCTTTCTTTCTTTTTTTTTTTCTTTCTTTCTTTTTTTTTAAAAAAAATTAGCAGTATTTATTATAAATTATTTTTCTAAATTTGACTGTATTGATTAATTTGCTTATAAAACAGTGCCCAAATTTAGTTTTAATTAAATATTCTTCATGAATTAATTAACTAATTCCTGATACTGTGTTTTAAGCAAAATGGCCAGCCATCCTCTTATTTGTAACTGTGAATGATGGAAGATGGAAGCTCTAATAGCTACTATTGTCCATTTGAGGGAATCACATAAGAAAGAGTGTCCATCCTATTGGCCTTCTAGCATCAATGTGATACTAATATTTCCTTTTCACATATGGCATGCCTTGTGTTTCTTGTTAAAGGCCAAATGAAGTACCTTAAAATGCTGTGCTGCGCATTATTTAATGTGTTGATGTAATTTCCACTGAAACAGGAAGACTGGGCAGGACATATCGAACAGCTCCTCCCCCTTTTAAAAATAGCCAATAGAGTTTAGTTTATATCTTCAAATTTTTGTTTTGGAGTACACTGGCTTATAGATAACAGTAGTCGAAGGAAAACATATAGGCTAACATGACTTCAATTTTGATTTCATGGGGACTTCATGGGGTTTTCAGAAAGGTGTTTAGGAGCGCCTCCCTTGTGGCCTATGAACCAGGACGAGCAAATGCCTATACCTGAACCTCTATGACCTGAACTCACTACACCATTCGCGCCATTTGGGAGTGGAACAAGCTATTTTAATGTGTAATACATGTGGGAATATTGATATATTGATTAAACAGATCACATACAACAATCCGAAAATTTATTTGTATAAATTTTTCCAACGTTCTTCATTTTTTAATTATTAATATATATATATATATATATATATGAAGAGTTCAGATGCAAAAGCTAAATGCCATTTGAAATTTTCTTCTTTAATGATGATTTTTATCAAACTTGTAAATTTAAGTTCAGTGATTTCACTTAAATGGCAATGATAATTACCTATTAATTGTTATTTAAGTGAAATTACTGAACTTAAATATACAAGTTTGATAAAAATCATCATTAAAGAAGAAAATTTCAAATGGCATTTAGAGGCTTTTGCATCTGAACTCTTCATATATATATATATATAGAGAGAGAGATAGATAGATAGATAGATAGAGATAGATATAGATATAGATATAATTAGAAAATTCAAATGTGATGTAATATCCCTGAACCCCTGGCTTTTTTTGTATTCTGTAAGTAAATGTTAAAAAATAAAATAAAATAAAACAAGAAGAAGAAGGCCAAACGTAACGTCAACTGATGGATAGGACTCTTAGAATGCGCATGCGCTCCTGAGCAGAAAGTACGGATTAGTAACGCAGTAATTGTTGCGCAAAAGTTATTAGTTGGCTACTTGTTTATTTGCGTTTTCTCTCCGAAAGAGTGTCAATTGTTTTTTGTGTGGACCAATTATGTCAACGTGTAAGTTACCTGAAATAGCCTACTTGAAATTGTTTATTGTTTATAACGTAAGCAAATACTATAGCCTAAACAACTTATTTTTGTTATTGATACTTATAGAAAACATCTTTAGTCGTCTGAAAGATGGTAAACTTGACGAGAAAGGCACATAGGCCTACACTTCACATTTAGAAGCAACCACGTAAATATGAGTAGGCCTGTTTATGTTTCTTCGTAGGCCTAACGTTAGCAGCTACAAAGGCTACAGGAAACACCGGGAGACACTGAAGCACGGTCGGTCATGTTGTCCTGGGACATGTGAAGATGTGAAGAGAAGGATTTAAACAGGTCAGTAGACATTTAAAATGACTTTAAGCAGGCTTTTGTACTTTTTAATGTACAATTTTTTATACACTGAAATGTTTACATTATTATTTCTTATTTCTGAATGTTTATTTCAAATATTGCTCCTTTCTCCTTTTTTAAATAAAAATACTAACTGTGCCTTATGATAATGTTTCCAGTGTAGGCTACATGCAGACAGTAAAAGCCTATACATGGTAATTGGCTCCATCTGCTGGTATTGATAGGCTGTTTTATTTTTCGCACCATTGGCTAGATTGCTTTGGTTTGTTAATGGATTGTCCAAACTAATAGATAAATGTTTTTGAACATAAGTATCATCACGTCAAGATTAAAACACTATCAGAACACAATGGAACAGAAATGGACATTTAAAAGAGAGGATGAAAGCCTCCGTCAAATAGCTTCCACTGCATCTTTTGTGATGACATAACTTGAGTGTTCCGTTTTTGTGCTCCAAAAAAAGAAAGAAGGGCCGACAGGTGTGGATAAGTAAACTTTAGAGAAAGGTTTCGTTTATTAGTTTAAACTATAATAGCTGTAGGCTATTTATTGGGTTGTTGCAGCTGGGCACGGGCTCACAAGATGGCGCCATAATACAAGGATTCAGAAAAAGCGTGACTCGATCGCCTAGTACAATTTTCCCGTGTAGACCAGGATTTACTTAGCAACGTTGCTTTGAACTAACGCAATATTCACTTTTTAGATTTGTAAAATAAAGTTTATGATATTATTTTCTCATGTACGTTTTTGCAGTTTAAATGCCCCCAAACCCCAAAGGTTGATTCTCAAAATGAAAATGTAGGTCTATCTGGCATCTGCACATGATTTGATATAAACGATTAAAAAAATATAAATAGGCTTATTTAATAGTACCATTTTGTTTTTCATTTCACGTGGGAGTCATTGTTACGCTTCTTGAAATAGGCTACATAACAGTGAACGTCATTACAATAACTCTGCACGAGCTGTTTGATTTTACTGCGTTTTTTGAAGCTTGTAATTATTTTTTTCTAAAGGACGTTAGTTAGTTCAGAAGCCCGCATAGCTGTCCGTAATTTGCTTACAATTTTTAAAAAAATTCAGTCCAGTGAAATGCCACTCATTCGCTATGTGTACGAAGAGACTCATTTGAAAATACCTATAGCCATAATTAGCCTAACATAAGTTAATTTCAAACATATTTTATTGTGTCGGCTTGTCTAAGAACCATTTCCGGAAATGTAAGTTAATAATATTAAGCATGCGAATAGCTGTTTAAATAGTTTTTTATTTCGTTTTTCATCATGTAGTTAATTGCTCTAAATAGATTCATTTTGCAATGCATAACCCTTAGCAATAGCATTATTACAGTGGATCTGAGCTGGTTTAAGTCATTTGTTGAAACTAAGAATAAGTTTTTTTAAGAATAAGTATTTTATGGCTTCCAAAAACGACCACAAGCGACATTTGTTTTTTTACAATTTATTTTTAATATATTATTTTATATATATATATATATATATATATATATATATATATATGACAGATGTAAATGCAAATACATTTTTAGTTTTGTAAGCCAATAAGCGAATGTCATTTTTCATATTTAGAAAATGAATGCATGCACTATTTTCCAACACACAATGCAGTTTTATTAATTGTTTTCTTAAAAATAAAAGTTCTCCAGTTTAGCTACCATTTACCTTCTCACAGCTTTCTGCCATATTACTTCTAAATGAACAGTCCAAGTATTTTCAGGAACTCAGTGTACCTCCCTTCGGCCCCTTAAATGCCTGTATTACCCAAGATAAAAATCATATTTATTTATGTTATTATTTAATGTTGATTAGCTAGATATACAGATTTGCTGATAAACCTCACTTTAATAAATCACATTATCAAGTGCTATGCGATTATTAAAAGACATTCATTGTGTGAGATATGAGGGCAGTTCTGATTTATTGATCCAAAATGATCAACATGCCACAGGAGCACCAGTTCTAATGGTGTAGATGGAACCTAAATGTCACTGTATTCCTGACGGTCTTCTGTTTTAACATTTAATTCCACTCCCTAAGAATAATGTAGAGCTAATCTCACCAGATTCTCTCCTTTATCTAAACAAACCTTTAATACTCCAGCACCGTTTTGTAATTAAAAGGGTAATAATAGGCGGTAGGGGGGTTTGGATTCTTGTGGAGGGGGTTGGGTCTGTCGGTCATGTCTGTGCATTTGAATACATGTATCATGAATATGCATCTCTTAACCTAGAGCATTAGAGCTGCGGTTGGTCAGTGGATCCGTCTGATTAATGCAAGTTTTGCCTAATATATGATTTCAACTGAGATCCTCTCGAATACCACAAATGAATTTTTTCAATACTCTGTATTAGAGTGGCTTATTAGTACTTTACAGATTCCATGCAATTAATTACACTGTTTTTTATGTCCTCCTTTGTTTTTGTTTTGAAATATGGTTTCAATTCATTTACTTTTCAGTGAACAGGACAAGATTCCTCTCAATGCACAATCAAGTCTAATTTGAACACGGCATAGTTAACCTTCAGAAAATTTCCACAGGGCTTTCATTAGTTACAAAATATTAAATTCATGTTCTTCAAATTAATACTCTCTTCAGAAGAGGGTAAAATAATCCTTGCTAATCACAATGTAATAAAACTCATCATATTTTTTGTTGTACATTTGGAATTTCCATTTCTGATTCCCAACAGTCAGGACAAATGTACTAAAATGTGCAGCGTTCACATCTGTTTTCAAGCCTTCGGAGTTAAAGGGCAAAATTGCACAAAAAATATTTTTTCAGTGAATGGTCTACCCGACATTCTCCAGTTCAAAATGAATGTGTAGCTATATAAACTTAAATACTAAAACCTTAATTTAAAAGCAAATTAATGTACATGTCACAAGGACAACGGAGGTGGCAAAGTGATTTTTTTTCTTGCCAATTTGCAAGGGCAATTAATATTGAGACCTTCAATTTTGAATTACTTCAAAAAGTATGAAATAAGATATGTGTAATTTATATTTTTTAGGACAATGTATACATTGTTAAATTCCCACATTTGAAAATTAGAGCTTTTAAACGCTTTTATCACAACATGTCAGTATGTTGCGGTTGATTCAATATAATTTAAATGTTTAGAGTGGGTTTGCGATTTGAAAATGCAGGGGGAAAAAATGTCAAGATTTTCTGTCCCTGACAAATGCAACTCTCGACAGTGATTGGCCATTTATATGTTCCTCCTCAGTGTTGCATTGTTTTGAAGTTTGTGTGTTCCCCTTTAAGAACGGGGCTCTTTGCAGCTGAAGAATTTGCTCTCCTGTCGCTGTGAATGGGGCCCGGGCAGGAGCTTAGCGAGGGGCCCAATGTTTTGTTCTGTTACACTTCAATAGGGCGTCAAGCAGGGTTTGGGCCTGACAGCCTGTGGATTAAAGGCTCTTACCAGAATCTGTTCGCCCCACCCCCTGACCCGCGCACTCCAACAATAGCCTGAAAGAAACACATTCTTAACTCTTCAAGTACTAAGTTGTAATTTGCAGGTGGCTATAGCCTAGCAAGTCCCTATAGCCCAAGACGATAAGGGTTATGGAGGAAAAAAGGAGGGGGAAGAGAGTGTTAGTTGTAGCCAACCTCTTTTTGCTCCACTTCAGTTTTCTTATACCTTTAAAAATATAAATGAATTTATCATTGATCTAAAAATCACAGTAATGACCTAGCAGAACGTGTCGTTGGACGACGGCCTTGGATTCGGAAAGGTACATTGTGTTCTAATCCCTGCTATCTGTCCATATTTTAAAAGATACACCGGATGTCAACAGTTTGGGGCTCGTGGAGTCGTCGTTGTTAACAATAGCCAGATGCCTGTTCCGAGCAAACAGTGTAGCGATGACAAACAGTTGTTGTTGCCTTTTGTTTTGACAGCACTTCCGAACAGAGCAAGAAACATGGGACCAGGAAGAGACTTTTGTTTTTAAATATTTGTCACTAGATCTAGATGATACTAAAACGAAGCAAAACATTTATCATGTTGTTAACTATTCTTATTGAACAAGGAAATTCAGCAGCATTTCGAGTTTTCAAATGCGTTTAATCTAGATGGACCACTAGGTGGAGCTATTTGAAAGTTCCTCAGCAGTGAAAGAGGTGCACAGGTGAAGCGGAGATGGGTTGACTATGTTTGTGCAAGAACTATTAGTTACTCCTTTTAAGAGAATATTTGGTAACACTTTACAGTAAGGTTCCATTTGTTCACATTAGTTAATTACATTAATAGTTAATGGATTCACTGACAAGTATTTGATGTAATTACGTTGAAATGACTTAAACATCCAAGTTGATTTTACTTCAAAATTTAAGGAAGCAATATTTACAGCGTACATTTGAAGCAATATTTGTTGGTCACACTATATATTAGTCTTTAACCTATTTTACTTTCATCAAAAAAACAATTATTAGGCACAATGTTCTTATTGTCTTCATGTTGTATTGCAGAATATGGTCAGTGACAGGTTTGGTGGTACGGTTAGGTTTAAGGGGTAATGGAAGAGTCAACATTGTAATTATAGATGTTTAGAATTGAATTACCATTGGAATTGCATGCAGGTCTTTTTTTTTAAATACAAGTACACTGTAAAAACATGCATGTACACAATTAGTGCATTATATCAAATTATAATTTAAATGTTAGTGCATGGTAGTTAAAGACACTTCAAATAAAGTGTGACCCTTTAAGTTATTTCAACATTTACTTATATATATTAAAAGATGTATCTGTTGTATAAAGAAATGATTAAAAATACTGATATTTATATAATAATATAATAAATGATATATATATATATATATATATGAAGAGTTCAGATGCAAAAGCCTCTAAATGCCATTTGAAATTTTCTTCTTTAATGATGATTTTTATCAAACTTGTATATTTAAGTTCAGTAATTTCACTTAAATAACAATTAATAGGTAATTATTATTGCCAT